ATCTCGTCCCTCACTTCAGCTAACCTCTCTAGATTGAATCTGTAAGAATTGAGGTTTGACACCAGGACACAGCCATTTTTAATGCCATTGGAATCTGGGACTGTTTCAGAAAACTTGTCAGCATCCAGGACACGTGAATGTGTGGCATGGAACTGTTGAAGTATTGTGATAAATTTCTAGGGTGGTTGAATTTCACCATTATCTTTCAAGACCCTCACTTCTGCCTGTGTCAAAAGCCTTAGATGAACAAACCTGTTTCAGGTTATGTTCTGTTCTTAGCATTTCTTTTCTTGAGCTTCTTAATTGCAAGGATTATGGCAAAGATCTTGATGTCACTTAAAAGAAGTGGGATACCTCTCATTGTCCCAAGATTGGGGAATTCCTTTCTGCTGGTACAAGTAGACAGCTTTGTACTGTCATGTAATGGTTTCTTGCTCTCAAATTGACTGAAAGTGCCTATTTCTTGAGCAAGTATTGATTGCAGAACTCAGTAAGAATACCACTAGCTCCTGGATCTTTGCCACTACACAGCAGGTTGATTGCATTTGTTATCTCCCTCAGCATGGGAGGATCATCTAGATTATTGCTTTTTGAATGATGGTTGAAATCTGATCGAGAATGCGGTTGAAATCCTTTGTCCATTTTCTACAATTTGGGCTTTACCTGTAAGCAGTGTTGACCCATTGGTGCGCAGGATTGGTAATGATATGAACTCATAGACAGATTTCAGAGAATCTCTTCCAGTCTTTATGGTCTGCATATGACTAAATTCCTTGAGATGTTGAGACATTTCTGGACCTTCTTGCCCTGGTGGCATCTTAGGGGACAGATCTTGATATTAGCTTTGAAATCAGAAGACAGTGGTCAGTCCAGCAGTTAGGCTTTTACAACACACACATCCTGCCTGATAACAAAATAGTCAGTTAGATGTTAGTGCATGGAATGGTGCTTCACCTAAAGCCTGAGTGATTAGGGAGGCAGAAAACTATGGTAGTGATTAATGTGGTAGTTCACATTAAGCACACATCAGCAAAAGGAGTCCATTGCAGGTACAATGACCCTATTTGTACATATAACCATTTCCCATATTTTGAGATTTGCATCAACTCCTGCACTGAAGTCACTAAGAATGATTAATTTGCCTGACTTTGTCACAGTAGCAATCAAGGAGTGGAAGTTGTTATAAAATTTATCCTTTTCTTTGTCAGGGCTGGCCACATGAAGAGTGAATGCACAGAGTTGCTTGCCTGTTGCTACGCAAGAGAATTTCTGCACCATCAGATGATCATTAACACTCGAGTAAGCAACTAAACTTACCAACTAGATGATTCATGTTAACAAAATCTATACCAGTTGGTGTTCTTCTTTTCCACAGTCACACTAAAATAATATGTAACTTACACAGGTTGCCTAGAGCTGACCCTCTTCAGGTGGACTAGTCTTATTGAAGACAGCGATCTGACAGTTGCAGCTCGGCCTGTTAGACTGACATTGTCTATGAGGATATAATGTTTCATGCACAAAGGTTGACTGTTGTTTCCTTTTTTCAGATTGACTTACAACTAAATTGATGGGATTCCTGCCAGTTGCAGCCTGCTGGCCAGGGAGGAGAAGCAAACAATGATTAAGTCACCTTTTCTAGTTCCTTCCTCATACCAGGGAGATGAACAGTGTGAACCTAAAATGGTTTGCACAGAAGGCTGTCTGGTTTTTGCTTTGCTTCCTTCCAGACAAAAATGACCCTATGGCTAGAGCTACGTATGTTCAGATTCACATCTACAGTTCCCACTGAATCTCTATCTGCTAGATCACGTGCTCATTGCCATGGACTTCTGATGGACAGATGGAGAGCAGAAGGGAAATTGCACATAAATTGGACTATAGTGAGCAAGTTGCACATCATCAGCCTCACTCTCTTGGCCTATCTTTATCCAAAAGGAAAATGAGGCCAGACAGCTGGCAATAGATTCAGATGTTCTGGGTGAGCAGGACATCTGAGTGTCGGTGAGCTCCATGTGACACAGTGCTGATCCACCTTCAAGATTATCAGACCATAGACTGGTCTCATCCACCCTATCCACCAGAATCAGTCTTTACATGTCAGGGTTACAAATAAAAAAAAATTGAGGGAAGGAAACTGGATGACAATTCTCACTGTTTGTCCAGCTCATCAAAGCATTTTAATGGGTTATGGCGCTGTCACATGCTAACTACTTGGAATCTCAGATGAAAACTGAGTGCAAATGAGGACCAATAATAGGATAAGCCACAGCGTTACTTCTCCATTAGCTGTTAGCCCAGCTACTAGTACAGCAATCTTTCTCTAGCTGATTCTTACAAAATAATGCAAAAATATTAAATTAACAAAATTAATATCAAATGCTTACAGCTGATCTTTACTGTGTGTACTACTTCCCAAAAAACTGTATGACTTCCCGTTGAAATGCCCCTGTGTACAGTTAGTACCACTGTCCTTAAATTCACTAGGGCCAACAGTAATGGACTTCCTACCAAGTTTCAAGTGTTGTGTGCCCAACCATAAGGAGATTTGCTGTCCCTGGAGTAAACAGAGTTGCTCAATTTATTGTCATCAGCACAAAGACCTGTACCTGATGCTGAGGTTGAGTGATAAGGACAGGAGACTGACAACTCAGCAATGAAGAATTTGACAGTTAATGGTAGATTCACAGGTTTCCAGTATATCTCAAAATGAACCATTCTACTTAACCTTTCATGTTGTAATTGTCATGCTTGGGTCAGTTGTTTAAATATTATAACTTCTAATAGCAGTTATTGGTACACACAAAGTGCAGCAGCTTTCAGACCATATATATACACACAATATATATAAAACTTTTGCTGCAGTGGATGCGATGTGACCGAAACTACAGGACTTTGGCCAATCAGAGTTGGTAATTCTAATGTGCACAAGCTACACCTGATCACACCATTTCACAGGGTCTACAGACAGAGGAACAGTAATCTGGATTTTACCTATAGGCTGTTCTTTTCTCTTGGAAACTGAGAAAGAGAATTATCAAACTCCATTTCCACCTGACAATCTATTCTGTCAAGGGCTTCCAGAATTTCACTGATTTGTTGAGTCTCCATAATCCATCACAAAGTGATAGAATCTTTCACAGGAGATGAAAAGGAAGGTGGTAGAGGAAACTAACACCGTTGAAGACAAAAATACAATGAAAGGAAGGTGGACCAAAGCATTTGTCATTAGGCAAGAAATCAACTCCATGCAATGGGGAGGTTCCTTCCACCAACTGACTCAATAAAGTCCCTTCATGATCCCTTGCCTTACTCTCAGGTGATCATTCTACAATTACACCATAATCTTGTTGAGGCAATGATTATAAATATTATTCGCCATATAAAAGGGCAAGTCTCCATTAAAACAAATACACAAATATGGCATATAGACATAAACACATTTATCGCCATCTTTGTCCATTGTCTCATCCATACTGATCAAGTTTCCCAAACTAAACTAGTCCCACGTACCTGCGTTTGTTATCTAAGATCCCATTATAATCTTAGATAATTTTCTTCACAGTCCACTATACCACTAATTTTGGTGTCATCCACAAACTTATTAACCATGCCTCCTACCTTCTCATCTAAATTTTCTATATAAATGATGAACAACAATGGGCCCAGCACCAATGCCTGCGGCACACCGTTGGTCACAAGTCTTCAGTCTGAACAACAACCCTCTACTCACCAATTCTGTATCCAATAGCCAGCTCTCCTTGGATCCCAAGTGATCTAATCTTCCCAACTGTTCAAGCCTACCACGGTTTCTTGATGTGACTATCAGTTGTAAGGTTATTAAAATGTTTTGGCACTGAGCTGGTGATGAGGGTCAATGAGTGACCACCTGTACCACAATGCTCCCTACTGGCTGTTCTTCCCTGTTCTGGAACTTAATTCACTAGATGCTCACAAGCCTTTGTTTTGTCACCCTGATTTGCTGACATGGCTTCATTGCAGCTTTTGAGAATCAGATGATGGTCCTTTTTCTGTTATTGCATCACTATCTTCAGGTGCAGCTTCAGTCTCTACCCTGCCTCTACCACACCCTCCTTCTCTCCCAACCCCACCTCCTGACTTTAACTCCACCTCCTGTGCTTTTGGCTATACCACAACCAGACTTCATTTCCTGTCCACCCAGCAGCAGATTCCAACATTTCTGTTTCAATTGCATCTTAGAATAGTAACAAGGCATCTACCACCACTGCAATGCCCCTCACCACCAAACCAAATAAAAACTGGCCAGATTCCTGCCCATAAATTGTCAATGCCACTCAAATGCACATGTTGGTTGGGTAAAAAATGGAAAATGCCACAATAATGCCAAAGTGAATACTAGAGACTGAGGCATTTTGTTGGGACAAACTAGAAGGATTTTTTAAAACCAAAAAGCACATGTCATTTTCCAGTTATTCCTCATTTTCCCATTGGGCAACTGCACAAAGCTTCAGTCCATCCCTCAGCAACTAGACCAAGAATTTGTAAGTCTATGGCACTCGGTTTTGACAGATCATTGATTGGGAATATCAGTAAACTTGAGGAAGCAAGAACAGCTGATTTCTGTTGACAGGTACACTCAAAGTAAAGGTGCACAGTGCATGTAGGATCAAGCTATAATAAGCTTTTGCAATTCAATCAATCATTGAAGATGTGAATGGCATAACTGAGCTCAACATATCCAAACAAAACAATGCTACTGAAATACTTTTGGGCAACATTTCAGGAAATTCTGTTTGAATAATTAATATTGAAAGACCATAAATAAAAATATCTCAAACTGCTACACAACAGCAGCAAGCTAGTTTTAAACTTTTACACAGATTCAACTCATTTGTAATAAATACAGTAATATTTTAAGATCTTTCAATAAGACAAATCAAGTAAATTGTAGTCTTCCACATATATACTGTCTTCCAATGTAGTTGTAATCTATAATGAAGTGAATAAAAAAAAATAAATAAAAAGGTATGAATAAATTTTATTCAAATTAAATGAAAACTTTGACAACTTGACAAACTAGACAAACATAGGAGCTTTTATCTTTACTCCATACAGACAACATTTCTGAGCCCCATGGATATCATCTTTGGCTGTGATAAGGAACACTTATGCTTCCTCAACCTTCAAATATTGTTAAATGATGCATACCATCTATGACCACTATTTCGCCTGCATCTCCTTCCTGTAAGTGGATCTCAACGCACTCCTTGTAAATAGAAAATGCTCATCTTTGAGTTTATCAGCTGCTGTCTCCAAACAGCTGTCCAAATTCAACTTCTCTGGCTGTGTGTCAATTTTCCATTCAGCTGTGGTATGGCTGTTAGCTTCCTTTATGGCTGTTGAAGTTCTTGGTAACAATCCAACAGCTATCTTTGAGAATCCTCCAGTTCATCAAGCTAGCTTGACTGCCAGAAAAGTCCACTAAATGCATCTTGCAGGGCACGATAACATGCAAGTGAAGAGGTGTAGCCTCCAGCAAGATCCTGGGATGTAGCAGTACGGACATGGTTCAGGTACCTTAAAAAATGGGAAGACAGTTCTGAGAAATTAATTTGCACACTTCCTATTAGCTTAGTAAGTAAGTGGAACAATAAATTTAAAAGAAAGTCATAATCATATTTTTACTCAATTAAATTGATAGGTTACTTGATAGCTGTACAGATTGGAAGTTAACTACTATTAACATAGTTAACATAGTAAGGTGAGGCAATGGCCTAGTGGTATTATCACTGGACTGTTAATCCAGAGACCCAGTTAATGAACCGCGGACCAGGGTTCGAATCCTGCCATGGCAGATGGTGGAATTTGAATTCAATTAAAGTCTGGAATTAAGAGTCTAATCTTGACCATGAATCCATTGCTAATTGTAGGAAAAACCCATCTGGTTCACTAATGTCCTTTAGGGAAGGAAACTGCCATCGTTACCTGGTCTGGCCTACATGCGACTCCAGACCCACAGCAATGACTGTTAACTGCCCTCTGGGCAAGTAAGGGATGGGCAATAAATGCTGCTTGGCCAGCGATGCCCTCATCCCGTGAATGAACAATGGGGGAAAAAAATTAACGCTCCAACTGTTGGTTTTACACCAATATCAATTGCGAAAGCAGTAGCAATGGATGGTAAGGAGTTAATATTGCCCACTCTGTTTATTGGCATCCAGCTGTTGGCAATGTCAATGAAGAGTCAGTTGCTACTTACATAGTTTTCTTCCCAGATGTTGTACTTCTACCACAAAACAACTGATAGTTAGCTTATTCAGGTAGCCTCAGACCAATTCCAATATGTTGGTTTGAAATTAGACTGTAGTTGTACAATCAACATTGAGTAATTGCACTACAAAATTTATATGAAAATTGCAATATAAATGCTCCTTAAAAGAGCAACAGGTATTTAGGAAGACTGGTGACCAATAAAATATTGGAAATAGGATTTTTCTTAATTACTTTATTACTTAATAAATTAGTGTATGGATAATGCAATTGTGGTGTACATCAATCTTGAATTTCGGAAGGCATTTGGTAGGTGCTGTACAAGAGGTTTGTTGAAAACATCAAGACAGACAGCATTAAAGAACATCTAACTTCATGGATAGTGGAGATGTCATGGAGAAAGTAGAAAGGTAAATGGATGCTTTTCAGATTGATTGCATGTAGGTAGCTGAATGCTACACTGACTGATTATTAAAATTTGATGATAAAGTAAAAGTAAGGGGACACTTCCAAGCTAAGGGAGAAAACACGTGATTTCTGAGAGACCTATGTGAAGTGGGCAGATGTGGAGCAAATGCACCTTGAGGAGAATTATGAATTACTAAAGTTTAAGACAGAGGAGTGAGAAGCAATCATAGCTTAATGCATAAGATTGGAAGAAAAGAGATAAATAGTTCCTAACTTCACAGTAGCATTTTGTATTTGACAAATCCTGAGGATGAAACTGTTTGAAAGATAAATTGTATAGTACTGTTTCTACTTTTAGCAGATAATGACTAAAAAAATCTGTTTCTAGCCATATTGATTAAGTGATGGGAAAGAAACAGGTAAGTCCCCTACATTGAAAGGGGAGGCGATGGCCTAGTGGTATTATCACTAGACTGTTAATCCAGAGACCCAGATAACATTCTGGAGCCGGGTTCAAACCCTGCCACGGCAGATGGTGGAATTTGAATTCAATAAATACCTGGAATTCAGAATCTAATGATGACCATGAATCTATTGTCGATTGTTGGAAAAACCCATCTGGTTCACCAATGTCTTTTAGGGAAGGAAACTGCCATTTTACCCAGTCTGGCCTATACGTGACTCCAGAACCCAGAGCAATGTGGTTGACTCTCAACTGCCCGCTGGGCAAATAGGGATGGGCAATAAATGCTGCCTAGCCAGTGATGCCCTCATGCCATTAATGAATGAACGATTTCTTTAGAATACTTTAAAGAAGTGTGAAGCAGGAAAATAAGAGGAATATGTGAACAACCCAATATTGCAAATTGTACAGGAATAATTAACTGTAAAATCAGCTAGAATATCTTCTGGCTTGGCTGTGTTTACTAAGATGTAATAGAGTGATAAAATCTGCACAATTCTGAGCTTTGAGATTTGAGAGCTGAAGTTTTTTCATATGCTTTTATTTTAAGAAAACTGGGCATTATGATAGTGTTTAAATGAAGGGCATTGAAACCTCTTAAGAACATGTAAAAAGCAAGATAGCAAGGAATTTATGGAGCTAAATATTTAACTACTAAAAAAAACTTCTTTGTTTTCCTTAGTAAACAGAGGCAAATAAACATTTGAGGCAATTTTCTTTCAAAAGGAGTCAAGGATAATAAAGATGCTTGTAAGTTTGTAATGTCTATTTGATGATTTTAATTTCTCACTCAAGGTGAAGATTCAAATTTGTTACTTGAATCTTGTGTGTTGTGATCTAGAATGCATAGTCTGAAAGGGTGGTAGATGCAACTTCAACAGTGATTTTCTAAAGAGAAGTGCATATGTACTTGGCAATGAAAAAAATGCATGACTATGTCGAAAGACCAGGACAGTAGAATGATTTCAATAACTTTTTCAAAGAGCTGGCACGAAGGCAATAGATCAAATGGATCGCTTCCCATGCTGTGATTCTGTGTGTTGAATGATGTCTTATAGTCAGAATGCCCTTAAGAAACATGCATCATGGTGCATGATCTGATGGAATTCATACTTCATCTAACCTTGGATCACTTTTGGTGTGACACTATGCTGGAAGCATATTTCTCTAATAGGCCAACATTAGTCCAGATACTTGTATGCCTGGGAACATAATGTTTGTACATAATAGTTTGTTGTAATAAATATTTGTTGATTCTTCAACACCATAATATCTATGCTTAATTGCTTACGTTACAGGAGATAACAAGCATTGCTGCATCAGGTAATAGAACCTGTTGGGGACTACGTCAGTCCACATAGCAGCAATGGCTGTCTATAAAAAATACTTCAATTTCCAAGTGACAGACATTTGAAAAACGAAGTAAAAGACCAAGAGTATGACAGTTTTGGACAAAAGGAGAGTTGCTTACTCTTGAACAGCACTGGTTTCTAACAGTACAGAAACTGTGCAGACCTGTAGATAGGACACTAACAACTAAGAAGACAAAGCTCATTTCTTTTAATTAGAGTGCAAGTTCTTTCACTGTAAAATAAATTTGTAAGATTGCATTACTTAAAACAAAAGGTTAAATGTAATCTTGAGCTGAATCACAATGCAAAAGGCTGGAAGGTTGGAATCCTTTATTCCTCTAAATTGATACAAAAGTAATAATCTCTTGTAACAACAGCTTATTAAGGAAAGAACAGTGTTATATTTCCACTGATGCAAAGTTAAGGGCATATGGTTTAAGGCGATACAGGGTAACATTTTTTAAACGGAACTATGGATAGTAGAAACCTCATTATGATTAGGTAACCAGTGACAGTCTTACTGAAATGTAACTGTTCAAATGATACATGCAGTTCTATTTTACACATTAGATGACAGATACCAAGAAAAGAGCGTTAAAAATCTTGCTTGCCATTTGCAAGGAGGGAATCACAGAATTAACATATCTGGTCTATCAGAAAGATCCAGAAAAGATCTAGAAGGTTCTTGAAGACAAATTTAAAGTAAGAATTAACTTCAGGATTAACAGATTCCAACTCATGTCATACAGAAGCAACCCCAGGTGGTTATTGATACATTACTGGAAGATGCCACAGCAAAGGACATGTATGACTTTTCTGGAGAGAGACTATTAGAGACGCTCATTGAGTTAGTCACGACCTCCACACCAATTAATGCTTGTAGGAAAGATCTTATGGCCAATGAAAAATGTCCATAATGTTGACACATTACTTCAAGATGGAAGCATGCATGAAGCCACAGAACCAGACTAACAACAGTGACATTATTCAGAGCACCCAAGGCTATTGCTTTGGTCAACAAAGAGTACCACACAAACAAAACCTCCAACAGATGCAGTTTGTCACACCTACCCAAAAGCTTTTCTTGATATATATATAAAGCATGTGGCGCCAAGGGACATTGGTCATACATGTGCAGGAAATCTAGTTCCAAAGGCCAAGTCAGAGACCAGACATAACAGAGGCAACCAACATCATGTCGTAACACAACACTGGCAGCAAGGAAAGTGTTAAGAAGGTGTACAAACACAAACACCTCAATGAAGTTCAGAGTCAACCACGACTTCCGTATTGTAAACATACACCATGCCAACAATATAAGGAATTCACAAGCTTTTGCAACTTTTAATATCATTTGTCCTGAAAAGACAAGTCAATATACATTAAAGCTAAAATCAACAAAAGGAACTGGTGCCAACCAAGTATCCTGAAAGACACATACTTCAGCATGGCTCAAAGCACATAAGGAATCACGAGTTCCACGCATTGGCAATATTACGCTGTGGTGCCAATATGCAAGCATCTTGGTTTCCCAATATCCTCTATCTGGTAGATACAATGCCCAGTGTAGCAGAACTCAGATTTCACAGATCTTGGTACAGTCATAATTCATGAGATTCAAATCATACCCAGTGTGGCAGAACAGACCACATATGACAAAACCAGAAGTCTGCAATCTCAAACACACACATTATGATGGTTTTGATGCAATCAGCAGTTTGAAGGGTGATGTGACATTGCATCCTAAGGATGATATAACCCCATTCATTGATCCTACAAGGAAATACAGTGGCCACATTCAGGAGAAGCTTCAAGTGCAACTAAATAAGATAAAACGAAATGGCATAATTGAGAAGGTCAAACACAGCACAGATTGGCATAACTCCATCACATACATTTAAAGGATGGCACCATTACAGTGTGTCTACATCCCAGGTGCTTCAATCTGTCACTCAAAAGGTGTCCTAACAAAATACCACGGTTAGAAACCTTAAATAATAAATTTTCAAAAGCAAGAATTTATTGCAACCAAGCTTTGCCATTCAAATAAAAGGAAAGTACTGTGGATGCTTAAAATCTGAAAT